CAATCAATGTATGTGTGGGTGGATAAGTAAGCATGTGTTGTGTTTTTGGGTGTATTCTGTTTACATGTTATCTGTTGTAATCTGACTTCTTCCTTCATGGACTTTTTTTTGTTTTCCCTGAGGGCGTAGCAGCACTCAAACAGTTAATTGCATCAGGGGGAACCTCTGATTAACCCCCAGGTTGTCAGGAAACCATTATATCAATTAGCCTCTCATCTAAAATATCTCATTTATAGGGGCTTTGCACTAAGAATGGTGGAACTGGAAATGGCCTTTGTCCTCTGCATAATCCCCAGCAGTATCATTTTTAATCTGTTTTTCCTGGTGTGTATCAGTAGCTTTTAAGTCTGTGACACCGTGCTGTGAACGTGCCGATTAACTGTAACACATTGCCATCTGCTGGAAGATGGAAGAACAGAGACCTCCAAGGGCATCTATATGTAAATGTTGGCTCACTTTTTTGGAAATTCCTAAGAAATGTCTCTTCATAAGCTGCAGCAAACCATAATATTCTTGTCTCGGTAATAGAGACGACCTTAGTTTGTATGTTGCTTGTTTGTTTTTTTTCAATTTTGAGGGGAAAATTATGAGAGGTTTAAGAGCACATGACTGGTTAGACCATATTTAATTAATTATCCAATTTTATTTTTCAGTGCCTGATCGTAGAACCTCTTTATTTATTGTTATTCCTACTAGAGTCCTAGGTTTCTAGTAATTTATGATTCCTTATCGTCTTTCTTGCCTATGTTGTCCATCAAAACCTGGAAATATGGCAGAAAGAACCCACCAGGAGTCGACTGATCAAGTTCCATCTTGTGCATCAGTTGATTTACTGAGGATTGAAAAGTTCTAGTTTTAAAAATCAAATATATGGTAACTTTCCTAAAGATGTCAAAGTATTTTCAGTGAAATGAAAGAAGGTGTCAGTGACTGGATCTATCTTTTATGTGTGAAACATTTTGACCCCCTTTCCACATGTTTCTTAGAGCTTTGTGTCCGTTACGCTGCAAGCCTGCTAGCCCAGGCTAATAATCTAGCCAGCATTAGCTGGTTATAACAAACAAAAGAGCTTATCCAACGGTCTCACAAGTGTTTGAGAAATCAAAATAAATTTAGCATATACTTATTTTGATTTTGCAGAGGCTTCTGCGTTGAAATAAAAATAATATACTTTAAAGCAGGAGGAAAAGTTCCTCTTCTCTTTTAAATAAACAGTTAAACGGCGTTATTTATTTGTGCTTTACATCAATTACACATTTTGCATTTTCCACAGACAAAAGGCCTTTATCAGATGAAAAAGAACCAATCAGAAAAAAATGGCTTAAACCTCAAGGAAGCTTTAAGATTAGAAAATAGATGGCAGGTGTGAAACGTGAAAGTGTATTTTAAGGAGGTGGTCTTCAGCACAGTCCTGGCCTGGCTGTCGCTATCTCTATCAGTCACATGCTTTATCGCCCTTTCAAGAAAAGCAACAAAGTCACAAAAGGAGGAAATGACTAAAGAAACAACTCATTCACACCCCTGCAATAACAGCAGCACCGCTGAAGGGGAAGTCTAACCCGCAAATGTACCCTTTTCTTGAACCCCCCAAAACATAAAAAACCCAATTTTTATCTGGTTGGATGGGAACTGTATTAGTGGTGATACAGGAAATAATTTCTCTTGTTTTGGGGTAAAAAGTGTTTAATTAAAGAAGAAGAATTAACCTGCTATTTCCAGACGGAGCTGTGTTGTTTACGGAGATAAATGCTCTGATTACAAAAGCCTTTCTTTCCTAAGCAGTCAGGCTTGACACAGGTCAAGACATGCATTTTATTTTTTTATTTTTGCTTCATGTGGGGCGTTTCACATGTGTAAGTAACCTACCAGCTCCCACCCATCCTTGTCTATGCAAACTCACACTGATTCTGTGTGACACTCCCTAGCAATGGGGTCACATGTAGTGACCGACTGAGCGCCCTCCCCTGTCTTCCCTCCCTTCCCCCTTGTCCTTTTCGCCTTGGCAGGGCATGCATGCCTGTGTCTGTTATCTACAAATGGCTGAGGAATTATAGGTTGAGAGGGGAGGAGGAGGCGTGAGGAAGGGAGAGAGAGAGAGGGAGGGAGGGGATGCTGGGATGAGGTCATGTGACATAGCAGCAGCTGCTTGCCTAAGAATTTCTGTTTTCTCACTTGGGGAGAGAGCTTGAGCAGGGAGGGGAGAGATAGGCAGGCTGTGTGGTGTGTTGCTTTGTTAGATAAGCTTTTAAACAGTCTGCGAGAGGCAGGAAGACAGGCTGGCAAGGGAGGGTGCGGGTGGATGGCTAGGAGGAGATAGAAAGAGTGCAGGAAGATGGCTTTTATCCCGTTGGTGGCTACCGGCGTGTGCTGGGATGGGCTCGACGTGAAGATGCAGCCGTGGGGGATCCAGGCGGCTTCACTCCTTTGTGCAGTAAGAAGCTCACACCATCAGACTTTTAATGCCACGCTAGGACTCGTGAACCACTGCCAAACCTCTAGATGTGTGCGTTTATTAAGCTCATCGCTCCATGTTGCTCTCATCTGCCTGTCTGTGGTTTCGTGTGTGTGGTTTAATGCTCTGTTTCAGGTTAGTCTCACAGAAAGTTGATGTGGTATCGTTCTTTTACTTCCGTGTCTGACTTTAGACAGATTCTTTTTGCCAGAGAAAGCCTGAAGTGTGTTTTCCTTGACCAAGTTGGGCTTTTGGGCTGTTGGTTGAGAGAGATTGTTGATTCCATTATTAATTGTTGTTTGGGTTCATTCAAAGTGCACTGGGTAAATGGGAGGTTACAAGCGGGACAACTCAAGAGGTGTTGGGAATGCTATTCACCATCTCATTCCTGACTTGCTACCGTGTGTGTGGGGTGTGTGTGTGTGTGTCTCCACTTAAACACTCACACAGGGTGCTGAGCTCCTGCTCCCTTCTCAGGAGGGAACATGATCTTTTTATAGCTCTGAACCTCTGGGGTAAACCCAGCTATAACTCCTAGTTACCTAATTATGGCGGTGAGATATTGGCATATTTTGCTTTTTTATACTTTAATCAATGTAATACTGTCAGTCAGAAGATTGCAGAGGATATTGATTCACCAGTTTCTTTTTAAAGGGTTTCCTTATACGCTTCCTAATATTTGTGTGTTGATGTTAATGTTTCAGGCTCACTAAACCTACACTTGTCTGAACTTCCACTGTCCTTCTAGCCACCCCTATTTTTGTGTTTGTTTTGCTGTAGCATGTAAGGCTATCAAGCTCCACTCTGGCATTTAGGGATTGCGCTAACACAGAGACTGTCGGCATGGTTAATTTTACAAGAGGCACACATACATGTACAGGAAGCAAAGGGGCAGCTCTTCTCACACTTTTATAACCCTCTATTCACCACCCAACTGTGACCAAAATGTGATAATTTCTCAGGTTTTCTAACCTTCACTTTTCTCATTTTCTTTCTATCAACTTGGAAATATTAAATACAGTGTATCCTTTCCCCGCATTTGTTTTTAAAAATGTTTTTATATCCATGGGACTGTTACCAGTTTTGATGAGTTATAGTTAAAAAAATAAAACTGCAATTTGCAATTTACCATTCCTGGGGTTTTAAGGCCAGCTCTGTATAATAATAACTGCACTTTATTGATTTCCCATTGGAGAAATGTACCTCTGCATTTAACCCATCCCCTTGGGGAGCAGTGGGCTGCCATTGTGCGGCACCCGGGGAGCAATCGGTGTTGATGGTCTTGCTCAGAAACCCAGAGTGCAGGCTGTGGGGATTGGACCGGGTAATTGCGACATTCTCACAGCGCAAGCGCATTGCTCTAACTCACTAGTCCAACACTCACTAATTATAGAATATGCCCCTCCCCAACTTGTTGCCGCACAGCCACATTTGGCTATGCTATTTTAATCCACCAAACAGACAGAAATTTGAATCAAACTGCTGTAATCAACTTTGATCAGTGAATATTTGATTCTAGCATGAAAAAATATTATGAGCTGATTTCTATTTTCTATTAAATAAATGCTAAAAGCAAGTGTAAACTGCTAAAAAAAGAACTAAGGAAATTAAAAATTAGCCTTTTGCAAAAAACATATGGTCTGGAAACTAGGGCTGTGCAAGTAATTGCTTTTGCAATATAATCAGATTTTTAAAACCAGATTTCAAATCGTAGAACTTCTCAATTTTGCTCCAATTACATAAACCAAGAGTTAAGACGTTGACTTTCTCACTCCAGCCCTTTAGGTGGCAGTAATAGGCTTGAAGTTGGTTTTGCTTCAACACAGAAGGGAAGGGAGATTTGTAGCCATTGGACAAATAGAAACACGCACTTTTCCTCAAAACAGTAAAGGTAAAGTCATACCAAAATGGAGTCCACACAAGCACGTGTTCAAGGTCATGAAAATAATGTAACATTTACATGCTGCTAGTTATTCATAGTTACCATAGAATGGCCAATGATTATTCCCTCTTCACTATAAAAATTTATTACAAATCAAGCTTTTTTTCTTAAATGTCATTTTAGAGGAAGATTTATTCTGCTGGATATGAATTTGCTTACATTCATGTGCTTGGATTTCACTTATATGATTGGCAAATGCTCAATAGAGTTTCTGTGTAAATTGTGACCGGGGGCCACCAAGGGCCACGTGGGCATACCTCTGAGGGTTTTTCTTTCCTGATAAAAGGAAGAGTGACCTGCCCTCCTGACCTTCCACCTCTGACCGTAAGACGTACGGCTCTGAATCCCCATCGTCTCCAGCTGTCACAGATAACCACCATCACTATCTCCCCGGCCTTAGCCTGTTTTCGAGGAAACAGCCAAATGTCTTTTACTTCTCGCTTGTTTCTTTGCATTGTTCCTCTAGCTTTAATTTCCATTTAGGCCATTTTTAGGCAGAGGTGGCTGTTTTTTTTACTCGGGTAGGAAAGTTATGGATCTCTTTATTGTTAGCTGTGCAAACAATTAATACCTCCCACCCTCCTTTGTGTTTGTCTGCTTCTTTAGGCATGAGCCATGAGCCAAAGTCACCATCATTAGGAATGATCTCAACGGCGACCCGTACAACGGCGACGGTCAGCCCCCTCACCCCGTCGCCTCTGAACGGCTCCATCGTAGCAAATGGAAGCCCAGCTGCCCAGTCAGCCCACTCCGGATTCGCCGCAGCCCTTCGTAAACTGGCAAAACAGGCCGAAGAACCTAGAGGTAAAACTAAAACTTGGTGTGATAAGGATTGATTCCTGATTGACACTGGAAGTTCGTTGTGGAAGAAAAATTTCATAATATTGAGAATTTATAAACCTTTTTTTTTTTTTTTTTTTTGCCAAATTTTATTTCCTTTTTTTCTTCAAATTTTAACTCATTAATCTAGTTAGTACTTTTAACATGAATCATGTGGTCTGTCTGCTATATTGAACTTAAAGCTGTCCCTGGAAATCTGAAGTATGGTAAAGAACCCCTCTAGTTGACTTATTTAATGCTCTCTGTGAGAGTCTCTATGCACAGATCGACCTGTCCCCATAACTCTTGACACTTCGGCTAACTGTAATCTTAAAAAAAAAACAAAATCTTCCATCATACAGTTTTTTTTTGTTTTTTTTTTTTATAGAGATGTCAGAGAAAGCACTGATCAAGGACCAATAGTTTGTTCACACTATCTGTAGTCCAAATTCACCACATTTGCGTGATGTTACTCCCCTGACATATTGCTAGCAATCTGCATTGAGACTGCTGTCGTTTCACCTGAGCTCTGGCAGGAGCAGCAGGAGTTCAGAGCAAGAACCCCCGAATAGGGTACGCCAGGCGACCAGCCATGCCCTGCTCCAGAGCTAAGGAAGGAGTATGGCGTTACATTTCAAAACGCCAACGAGCAAAATAAACATACTCACATGTACGTTAAACTACTTCTGTGCATGGTTTATCTACCACTGCACAACAGAATCACACATGCGTGAGATACTGCCGCTTCAAGAGGAGAAATTTTCTCTCTGCGTACCCCTGCTCCTCCCAGGCGCGCTTGGAGAAGCTTCCGCCACTGTCCCGCCTCCAGCCGTAGTCTTCACTTATGGGTGACGAGCTGTCAGTCAAAGGCTTCCTGACACTACTTCCCGTGTGATCATGTCTGCAAGTCTCAAACAGGCGGAGGCTTACAGAAGAGGTTTGTCTCCGCCCAACCTGTCAAAACGCATATTCCTTCGTGCGAGGAGAAAATCAGTCCGAGGACAGAGACGCTTTTGAGAGCGCAGTCATCTTCGAGCGTGACCGTTGGATAGAAAATCGTGCGTGCGGCGAGATCCCCGAGCGCCCCTGGGAGGAGCTTTTGATTTTGTTGTGCAGTGGTAGATAAACCGTTTTGAAATAAATGTGACACAATAAAGGAGGGCAGTGTGTTCACACGCACCATTATAGATCCACTGATCAACCACCCAAGATCTACAGCTGATCTATATTCCCTTTATTGGCTTCAATCTGTAATGGGCTGATCAGAAACTGAAAGGTCTGATAGTTTTGACTCTATTCATGTATTGCATATAAAGTACTAATTTTCACTAGTGTCAGTCTATCAACCAGCAGCTGGTAATTTTTCCAAAATCTAAAAACAATTACTGATGTTATGACTGTAAATCTTAATGTTTTGTTGAATTCAAAGCTGACAATTCTTTCATGACATCAGTAATGACTCCGTTCTTAAGCTGGTATCATTTCGATACAGTTTGAGCTGTACATCAAAGAATTATTGGAAATGTTTGAATGCCTTTTAAAAAGGAAAGTCTTTGCTCCAATGGCCCTGGGGCTACAGCAGCCATACTACCACTTTGTTTCTGCACCTTAATCAGAGGGACTCCTTCCAGTTTGCTGCTCTCCCTGGACACCTTTCTCTCCAACATACCAAAGCCTTGGGCCCAGAGCTCATCAGATGATTTATTAGCTCCATACAGTCAGAGTCAGCTTCTTCTTAATTTCCTCACACAGTCTTTCAGCCCATTATCTCTGCTCACTGGTTTAGCCTTGTATGTCAGGCCTATCGCTCTGACTGTTGCTGTCAAACACTATAATTAATACTACATTTTGTCTCAAAAGCGCCTTTCTGGACACTCAAACACTAATTCTCCTCACAAATTCATTCTTACTTTTAAAAAGAACCCCTTTCATTTTATTCAAAATCTTCCATCCCATTTCTATTAAATCTGCCCTAATACTTCTAATATTTAGTTTTACCGTATGTGAGACGTGCACAAAAGTATTGGTAATTCAAAATCGGCACAAGAAAGAGCTGCTTTTTTCCCTTTGTCGTACTGAGAGCAGATGTACCTCTTTTTTTTACTAAAAGCACGTTGCCTTTGTTATCTCTGAGATCTGCACAGCCTGGTTGAGTAGGTAGTGAGGTGTCAGTGAGGCGGCTGTCAGAGATGCAGCAAGGTGCAACTGCCTGTGTAGGAAGCTTTGTTTTTCCAGGGTGGGCAGTCATATGGCTCCTGAGCTGAAGTCATTTTCTGTCTACAGAGTCTGTATTTATAACCAACGCACACCCAAACACCCCCACATGTATAAACAGTTGTCTTTGCAGTGGTATAAGCCTTGTGATTTCTTTACATGCTGCAGCCTGCTGTTCTTTCATTACCTTTTGACTCAGCCTTCTCTTGTCTTTCCCACCCTGTGTGGTGTATGCTTTCAGGGGCAATATATGTATGAGAGATGTCATGACTCACGTTCTAAGGCTTTAAGGAATTAGTTTAGTTTAAGCACCGGTATCACAGCGACCAGCCGCTGAACTGATTTAAGACCCCGGATCACGGCTGCTGTTTGTATACACACCCACACACCCATGCCTTCATGCACACAGGCACATACTTCGTCACTTGTCTGAGGCGAGCATAATGAATAGCTTTGTGTATTGAGAGCTGTGCTGAAGAGGGGAGGTGATGGATAATGAGTATCGGAGCAGCATAAAGGACACTCTCATTCAGCGTACGCTCACATGTGTAAGCAAACCGGCACAGACGCAGCCAGCACGCCACCGCGGAAAATCAGACCTCCTGATATCTGATTAATTAAGACGATCTGGGTTTAATCATCTCAGTTGTTTCTTCTCCACTCTGTGGAGACACACAAACATGACAAGAGTTTTACAGCAGGAGAGAAAATGAAGTGAGGGAGAATAAAGGTATTTAGATTAGATGGAATGAACTGAACTGGATAGATAAAAGGATTAGGAAGTAATTAGTAGATTTGTGAAAACCAGGAGTGTCTATTATAAAGTCAATGTGTGTGTGTGTGTGTGTTATGAGGTGCATGTGTGTGGCCAGAGGCTTCCCTTGTTTCTGGGAGCCCACAGAATGCTGGGACAGTGGGGCAGTGTGTCGCTGACCTCTCCATCTGGAGCCTGCCTGGAGCTTGCACAGCCTCGCTGTGCTCAGTGTGTCCGTTTTGTGTGTGTGAAGTCCTTTAGGCTATTCCTGTGCCTGAAAGACCCACAAACAAGCCGACTTCCTTTACCTTCATCCATCTTTCTATGCCCACTTCTTAAGAGTATGATCACAAACGGGGCATTATTTAGCTGGATGTACAGTTTGTACAGTCAGCAGAAGGCACTCCTCCTCTTATTTCCAACCGCCATCTTGTACCGTCTTCCTTTCTCTCCCTGGCACAGCAACACGCATACTGTCTGTGTGTGTGTGTGTGTGTGCGCATACTGTCCCATCCCCCCCAACTCAGTGATGCAGATTACAGGCTTTGTGTTGTGTTGTCAGTGCATGTCCAAGACTGTAGTAGCAGGTGTGTGCAGTGTCTGCATCCATCTTTGCCTGTGTTTGTGTGCTAAGAGTGCACGTGTTGAGGCTTGTGCTGGTTGGGGTGGCATATGGATGCAGGGCTGGCTGGGCACCGCTATGCACACCAGGTGTGAAATGGACTGTTTAATTAAGTGCTGATGTTGTTGTAATGCATGCTGGGAGGGAGGAGTGTGAAGAAGGGGGTGAGGAGGGGATGTTGGCGGAGAGGTTGGAGGAGAGCGGCCGCTTCTTGGCAGGACGAGACCAACGCCTGCTCGGCTGGTTGGAAAAAGGTGACGGTGGTTGTGGCGATGGACTGGAGGGGTTTGTGCATTTCCTCCTAGAATCCTATCAAGGGACAGCAGAGTATGTGTGAATGAAAGGAACGACTAAAGACTCTGTAGCTTTTTTTTTTTAATTTCGCATAAGGTCACTGGTTAATGTGAAATGTACTGGTCAGGCGGGGGCACTTGGCCACAGCCTCTGACCACATTTTGCTTAGTTTGTTTATTGCTTCTGCTCTCTGGTTGTGTGTGTGCATGAGGATCAGCTTGAGCAATCAAGTGTGGAGGCACTCAGAGAGAATGGGGACTGGTAATGGAGGAGGCGATGAGGAAAGGACCTTCACATTAATCATATAGGCTGAGGTACAGAGACATGCTTCTGCTATTTATCTCTTTTGTTCCTCTTTCCTTACGACACTTCCTCCTTCCTCCCCCCCACACCTCCCGCATCCTTATGCCACACACACCCCAACTTATGAACATATGAAGGAAGCAACAATCATTGCTATTAATGAAGAGCAGGTTGAGAGCTGATGAGGCTGCCCTCGACTCTGAGGATCAAAGCGTTCGCTTCGTTCCTCATCTTCCAGCTCCCTGCAGGCCTGTTTTGTGTGTGGCCATCTTTCCCCTATAGATAGAAGGGGAGGAGCATATGGCAGTGATGAGACCATGCTGATGCCAGTCACATGCCTTGCATGCAGGATTTCTGTCCTATCACATGATAGTGGGATGAGAGGGAGAGGCACTGGGGAGAGGACAGCCAATAATTGTCTACAAAGAAATCTTAAAAGGTCGATAATGACTTGAGGAAGCATGAGAAGTGAAAGAAAGGTTAAAAGCTATAGAAATAGTCTTTATACCACTTTAACTTTTTCAAATTACATATTTAACCATAAACATCAATGCGTTTTAATTTTCTCTGATGTTATAAACTAAAGATTAGCAGCCATTTGCCATCACAGAGTAAAGCGACGCTTTTTAAAATGTTTCTAAAGTTTCATGTATGTTGATTTTAATTTTAGTCTCTTCACAAAACCATAAGACAAAGGATCAGAATGGATAAACTTGGTTGGCTGGGAAAGAAGTGCCTTATTCAGATAAACAGCAACGACAATGAACACTAGAGGGGGTTTGTGAATTTACAAATCTC